TTTTTTTTTTTTTTTTTCTGTACCAGGATCCTTGCGCTTTCGAGGCAGGCAGCAGAACCACTGAGTTAAATCCCCAGCTATGGTGGTACAGGGGATTGAACCCAGGGCCTCCTGCATGTTAGGCAAGCACTCTCTTACTGACATCCCCAGTCCTTTATTTTGAGACAAGCTCTTGCTAAGCTGCATAGCTTGGCTTTGAACTTCTCAGCCTCCCAGGTGCCTGGGATGACAGGTGTGTGCCGCTACACCCAGCAATAGCAATAGTTATTTATTTATTTATTTTTGTGGTGCCAGGGATCGAACTCTGGTCCTTGCACCTGCAAGGCAGGCGGCGGAACCACTGAGCTAAATCCCTGGCCCAACAGCAATATTTATTGAGGGCTCCCATCTGACTGGTACTGCACTAGTCCGTGACTATCGATTAGCTCATAGAATTCTCTTCTTAGCTTCGATTTAACTAGAAAGTAGGCAGAGAAAGAGCGGCAGGCAGTCAGGAGGAGCAAAGCCAGTGCTGAAACCCCAGGGCGGGTGGGTGGCTGTGAGCTGGCCCTCGACCCAGACTTGGTCCCCACCCCAGGCTGGCCCTGGGCCCTCAGCGTGAGGTTGCCCCAGGCCTAGTTCACATGGGACTTTTCTTTTCACTGACTCACTCTTTTGAGATAGAAATCAACTTCTGTAACCAGAGAAATAATTACATGGGAAAGAAAATCATCCAGGGACGGTGCAGGCCTTAGTGAGAGGCAGCGAGGACCCAGAGTCCCAAGGGTGCACTGACGTCATGAAAAGCTTGATAGGATGAGACCTTCAGTGTCACTGCTCCCACCCGCCCATGGCGATTCACGGCCTCTGCCTTCAGCACACGCTTTGGGGGACACTGCACCCTCCATTCCCCTGCGGGACACCCGTGTAACTTTCACGGGGAGTTCTGTGTTCCGGCAAGTGGGCAGATGCAGCCTGGTATGTCTTGCTTTCAGAGCCCCACAGTCTCTGTTAAAGGCCTTGAGAAGTCCTGCAGTAAAGGAATAGATTTGACTTTGCGTTTTGTTTTGTTTTTTCTGGGACTGGGGATTGAACCCAGGGGCTCACGGAGGCCAAGCGAGTGCTTTACCACTGAGCTGCACCCTCAGCTTGGTTGACTTTAACTCTTCATTCACGCTTCGTTTATTACAAAGCCCTTTGAAAAATTCCCCCCAATATGATTGATTAAAACACAGGCTGTGGTCTCCCATGTCTCAAAGCATTTCTACTCCCATGAGTTTATCGTCACAAGAAGCAGAGAGTGGCCCTGTGTCCCTACCACATAGATGAGGGCCAGACAGCTGGAGAGGCAGTGTGGCGGGGTCGCGGATCCGGGGCCTCTGGCTCCCTGCCCAGCAGCCCAGAGCTGAGTCCGCCTCATCCTGTGCTCGTCCTCATCCCGTCCCCCAGAGCCGTCCACGGGGAAGACCTGCCTGCCCAAGGCCCTGCTGAACCTGAGCAATGGTCGCAACGATACCATCCCTGTGCTCCTGGACATCGCTGAGCGCACAGGCAACATGCGAGAGTTCATCAACTCACCCTTCCGAGACATCTACTACCGAGGTAAGGCCCCGGGCAGAGGCAGAGGGCACCCAGGCCCCGTCCTTGCTCAGCTGACCCCCGAGAGCTTCAGTTTGGGCCTCCAGTGCGAACACGTACCCAGGAAGTCACTGTTGAGTGACAGAGTGGACGGATGGATGGACGGATGGGGAATAACTACCTCTGCCACTCTGATGTTCTGGAGATGCAGTGAGCTTTCGTGGTCTGTGAGCCTGGAATTCTGGACAACAGGAGGCTCTGTGGAAATGAATCTGAGCCAGCAGCGCTGGTTGTGAAGGCAGCCGGTGCCCGAGCTTTCCCGTCTTCAGTTCTGAGAGTCTCTGAATCAAATCTGGCCTTTCAGATTCCTCGATATTAACATCCAAAGTCCATGAATTTTATATGCCAAGTTGAAAATTCTGTGCAGCAAACCGCCTTTGTTCCCTCTTGGAATAAAGCAGCACATATGTCTGAAAAGTTTTGGCCACCGGGACCTCACAAACGAGCTTAAAATTCTATTTGTACAGTGCACAGACCTAGGGCTGTCAAGTTCTCCATCTTGGGAAAGCCTCTGAAGCCCCGGGCGCTACCCTCTGGTGCCCCATTCTCGTGTGCAGTTCCCCACTCTCCACCCCGAGCCAGCCCGGTGGGGTCTCCGCCAAAGCGGACCCCGGGTGACTGTCGCCCCACCCCCAGGCCAGACCGCCCTGCACATCGCCATCGAGCGCCGCTGCAAACACTACGTGGAGCTCCTGGTGGCCCAGGGGGCCGACGTGCACGCCCAGGCCCGCGGCCGATTCTTCCAGCCCAAGGACGAGGGTGGCTACTTCTACTTTGGTGAGGAGGGGCCTGCTGGGGCGGGGCCCAGGGGAGTGAGGGTAGGAGACACTCAGAGCTGCGCTGGCCGCTGGCCCACGTGGGTCCTGCCCACGGAGACCTTGCATCGAAAAGGTGAGCGCCAGGGAGAGTTCGGGGTTAGGGCCTCAGCTTCCCATCTGTATACTTGAGCTCTTGAGCAGCTGTTTTTCATCTCTTTATCCTGGGGCCAACAGTCGGACCCTCAGGCCAAACCTCTTACCGTGTTGTCACAGCTGGACCAAAGGAGTAGTTTGAATGTCACCCCTGCTTAGGGGCAGGTGTTAAGTGAGGCTCAGAGACAAAGTCCCACAAAGAATCCCACCTATCCCAGCTATGGGGCTGCCCGGTGCGTTGTAGGAAGTTTAGCTGCATCTCCAGGCGCCCACAGACTGGGATCACACAGCCATGCCCCTGAACAGCAGGTCACACCGAAAGAGGTGCGCCTGAGGAGTGACCACACCCACGAATACCCCAAATACCTATGCCCTCAAATGCATCCCAAATAGCCCTCGGTGGCAACACCCTGAACACCCTCGCCTATAGGTAGCAATCTACCCAAATACCCCGTGTCCCACACACTCGTCCCAGTAGCCACACCCACAATAACCACCTTCAGGAATAGCCACGCTGTTAGCAACATCCCCGTCCTTAAATATTCATACCCCCAATACTATGTCCCAAATTTGCCGCACTCGGGAGAGCCACGTCCACGGGCCACACCCAGGGTCGCCCCCGACTGCGGCCAGTCCCCTCCTCCAGGGGCCACCCTCACCTCCCAGCCCTGCACGAGGTGCGGTCTCCCCCAAAGGACAGCACGCCCGCGGCTGTGGGTGTCGCGCCCTGACCTCCCTGGCCGGCCCTCGCTGCCCGCAGGGGAGCTGCCGCTGTCGCTGGCCGCCTGCACCAACCAGCCGCACATCGTCAACTACCTGACCGAGAACCCGCACAAGAAGGCCGACATGCGGCGCCAGGACTCGCGCGGCAACACGGTGCTGCACGCGCTGGTGGCCATCGCCGACAACACCCGCGAGAACACCAAGTTCGTCACCAAGATGTACGACTTACTGCTGCTCAAGTGCGCGCGCCTCTTCCCCGACAGCAACCTGGAGGCCATGCTCAACAACGACGGCCTCTCGCCGCTCATGATGGCAGCCAAGACCGGCAAGATTGGGGTGAGTGGAGGCCGCGGCGGGCAGGCATTATTTGCTTTTGTTTTGGTTTGGTTTTTTTGAGACAGGGTCTCACCATGTAGTTAAGACTGACCCGGAACTCACTGTGTAGCCCAGGCTGCTCTCGAACTCACAGCGATCCTCCTGCCTCAGCCTCCCGAGTGCTGGGATTACAAGCATGCGCCACCACGCCTGGCTTTGACAGGCATTATTGATACGCGCACCCACCTTCCGGTTTGCCAGTCCCAGTGTGCAGGTGGTCCTTACTCAAGAATCTGCTGTGGCTCCCTAGCGCTCAGCTGCCTCCCAGAGCCTCTCACTGGGTGCTCACCCTCTGCTCCACCAGCCAGGTTCAGCCACTGATAGAAAGCTGAGGCCTGGGGCCCCGACTCCGTTCTCCCAGCACCTAACCTGCGAAGTAGCCGGGACGATACTTTCCCTTTCTGGGCCTCACGCTACAGGACCTAGAGCGGATTTCAGTCTTGGCACTGCCTTTGGACTGGATGTTTCTTTGCTATGGGGCTGCCCTGTGCGCTGTAGGAAGTTTAGCTGCGTCTCCTTGACAGACAGGCTGCCTCTTTCCCACCTGTGACTGCCAGAAATGCTGCAGACGTTGACAGGTTGCCACTGCTCTGATTGAGAGCCAAGCCTGGGGTACAGCTGGCTGGGCCCCGGCTCTCTGTACCTTCCCTGAGTATGGCATTGGGCTTTGGATCTCTGTTCTCTGGGCTTGAGATTCCTTGTCTATAAAATGGGGCCAGTGATAGTGCCCCTGGCATAGTGTTACTGTGACAACGAAAGGAGGCGAGTCACAGAAAGATCTTCAGAGGAGCTCAGGTAGTCAGTGGTAGGGCTATGATTCCGTTAAAAATATAGCAAAAATTGCTGGACATAATGACGTATGGTTGTAATCCCAGCACTTTGCAAGACTGAGGCAGAAGAATCCAAGTTTGACCCAGCCTGAGCAACCTGGTGACTTAGTGAGACCCTGTCTCACAAAAAAAAAAAAAAAAAAAAAAAAAAAAATATGGCCAAGTTCAATCTCCAGTAGACCCCCCACCCAAAGCAGCAAGAGGATCTTGAGTTTGAGGCCAGCCTGGCCAATATGGTGAGAACTAGTCTCAAGGAAAAAACGTATGTGTGTGTTCATGCGTGCATCGTATGTGTGCATCGTATTTTATGTCCATATTTAGCAAAAGCTACTAAAAATCACAGTTATATCAGACTCCTGAGGTGGGAGGGAAGGCCACCCCTACTTTGTCCTACTATACTGTGTGACCTTGGCCAGAGCTTCCTCATGCCTCAGTTTCCCTGTGTGTAAGGTAAAGATCGCAGGGGTGGTAACAGGGTTGTTATGGTCAGGGTTAATATGTAAGGGAGATCGAGTCATCTGTTTGACTCCTCGAGGAGGGTCCTTTCCATAGCCAGGACTGTTAAATCTTGCCCAGGTTTGGCCCTGGCCGTGTGGCCGGGGGAACATGTTTGTGCCCCCGAGGCCCCTTTTACTCATCTGTAACCCCAGATGGTAAGAGTGAAACGAGATGGCACAAGATCTGGGGAGCCGTGGTGCCGAGTGGTTTCCCTGCGCTCCGTCCTGTGCTCTGGGGAACAGAGGGGGGCTGCGTGGCAGGCTCCCCAGGGCCTCTCCTCTCCCCTCCTCTGCCCCACGCAGATCTTTCAGCACATCATCCGGCGGGAGGTGACTGATGAGGACACACGACACCTGTCCCGCAAGTTCAAGGACTGGGCCTATGGCCCCGTGTATTCCTCGCTCTATGACCTCTCCTCCCTGGACACGTGTGGGGAAGAGGCCTCTGTGCTAGAGATCCTGGTGTACAATAGCAAGATCGAGGTGGGCGCCAGGGCACCACGGGCGTGGGGAAGGAGGGGTGCGGCTGGGAGCACGGACTGGGCTGGCGGGGCTTGGGGGTCCATACCTCTGTGACCCAAAGTCGTGGGTCTGGGGGCCGAGGGCAAGGGAAGGTGCCGACTCAGCGCCCAGAAAGTGTGTGTGTGGGCTCGTGAGGAAATAAGCTGGGCTTGGGGTGCAGGTGGGCTTGGTGGGGCTCTCGGACCTGTCACTTTACACGCCGTGACTCAGGGTGATGACTTACCCTCTCCAGGTCTTGGCTCCCTCGCTTGTTACCTGGGGAGAAGGATCATATCCACCCCACAGGGTTGTTGGTCAGTTTTAGAACACAGTATAGATGTTATGTGTCGGCTGTTATCATTAGTGGTCCTTACATGTAGTTCAAAAGCCCTTTTCTCTCACTTAGTGTTTTGTGAACATCGTTCTGCACCATTAAATACTCTTCCGCAGATACCAATGCTGCATGTAAATAAATGCACACACACTAATGACTCATTCCTCTGCTGCCGGTCGTTGGGTCTGTTTCTGCCTTTAACTATGAGGAATAGGCTACACCAGCATCTTCATGGCTGTACAGTCAGAGAAATCCATGGTGAGGAAATTCAAGTCATTAGAGATACTGAATGCTGCACAGATGAGGCAGAAAATGCCAGGGAGTGGGCATGGGTGGTCTACCTCCCAACCCTGCCCTGTGGTTTATGGCTCTGAGTTCAGCTCTCCTCAAAAGACCTCCCTTCCTTCTTCCCTGGAACGAGTGACCAACTTGACTTAGATCAGGGTTTGCAGGTTTAGTTTAGCATTCCTGGTGCAAGCCCTGAGGGCGCTGTTGTGCAGGGCTCAATTATTGCTGTCTGGCCTGGATTCGGAATGGGAGAATGGAGATAAGTTAATCATTTACCACATTTAAACTAAATTTTCATCTTGCTCGCTGGATCAGAATTTCTGAGGATGGAGCCCAGGCATTTATACGTTTTGCCAACAGTGCAGTACGGTTCACAGATTGGGATTTGGGAACCATGAGGACAGATATTCTTTAAGGAGCTTCTTGGCTGTGGTTCTTTTTTTCTACAACAAGGTGGGAGGGTAATTTGAGGCAGAATTGGACAGAGGCTTTGAATGATGAGTCCTAGAGTTTGGAATACTGAGTGCCCATCCAGTCCCCTGCAAGTCCTGGGGTCTGGCTGGGGAGTAGGCTATGGAAGGGGGGGGCTCTGGGGTGTGGAGGGGAGGGAAGGCACATCAGAGCCAGCCAGTCTGGGTCCCCACCACAGGGAAGTGGCCCCCGCCCCCCATCTCTCACAGAACCGCCACGAGATGCTGGCTGTGGAGCCTATCAATGAGCTGCTGCGAGACAAGTGGCGGAAGTTCGGGGCGGTCTCCTTCTACATCAACGTGGTGTCCTACCTGTGTGCCATGGTCATCTTCACACTCACTGCCTACTACCAGCCGCTGGAGGGCACTGTGAGTGCTTGGAGCCTGGCAGAGCTGGGCTGGCACTGGGCTGGGCCTCTCAGGCCTGGGGCACAGCTGGGTCCTCGGGGGTCCCCAGGGTGGGGGAAAGGAGAAGGCCCAGGGACAGCTGGGGGAGGTCCCTCAACATCCAGGGTGGCTCTGGGGGGAGGGAGATCCAGGAGGAAGCTAACAAGGGGGGAGGCTTCCCAGGATCCAGATGTTTGGGGCACTGGGGAACATCTTGATCCGAGGCCAGATGCTGGAGGGGCAGATGAGGACCTTGTGCCCACCCTGCAGCCACCCTACCCTTACCGCACCACGGTGGACTACCTGCGGCTGGCCGGCGAGGTCATCACGCTCTTCACGGGCGTGCTGTTCTTCTTCACCAACGTGAGTGTGCGGCCTCCCCCGCACTCCCCTTTCTCCTCCTGTGCTCTAAGTCATCCCTCCTCTCCCTTCTCCCCTACGCTTCCCTCTTTTCTCAACAACAAAGAGCCCATTGTCTCTATCTCCTCTCTCCTGTCCTCTGCCTCCCTGGTTTCACCCCCATCACCAGCCTGCTCTCCTCTTCACCAGCCTGCTCTCCTCTTCCAGATCAAAGACTTGTTCATGAAGAAATGTCCCGGCGTGAACTCTCTCTTCATCGACGGCTCCTTCCAGCTGCTCTAGTGAGTAGCGGTCCCTGGGCGGGCATGGCGGAGCAGCGACTTAACCATGAGGGCGAGTCAAAGTCAGGGCAAGGCCAAGGTCAGGCAGAAGCGTTTTCTGAAGACGAAATACTGTCCTTGGTTACTAGGGAGCTAATATATACACCAGAGGTGGGAATAATTTAACATTTCATGTTGGCAGTTGCTTGCTAATGTCTGCCTGCAGTGCCATATTTGATTTTCTTTTTCTTTTTCTTTTCTGTTTTTTTAGAACTAGGGGATTGAACCCAGGGCCTTTGCATGGAGCTCCATTCCCAGCCCTTCTTTTTTTCTTTTTTCTTTTGTGATAGGATCTTGCTAATTCATTGTGTTGCCTGGGCAGGGCTTGAACTTGTGATCCTCCTGCCTTAGCTTCCTAGAGTGCTGAGATCACGTCGGAGAACTTGATGGCTATATTTGTGTTTCTCGGGAGAAAGACAGCTGTGACTGATTTACAGAATCCGCCTAGGACACCGGATGTGGGAGTTCCTGCATGTGTGCTCCATCTTCTTCATCCCTTTAGAATTACAGAACAACTCAGGGAGCTTCACTGAACCTTTGCTTTGCATTTCCAAAGGGCATCACTTTAGGGTCTTGTAGGCCTTCGGGCCAATAATTATACCTAAATTGCTCTTTAGTTAATTGCCTGTTCTAGCTAATGAAAGGCGGAGGAGCCCAGTTAATCCACTTTGATTCCCTTCCGGTGGTCTGGAAGGCATTGCGATGTGCTGGCAGCCTGGAGGGCTTGGAACTGTCTCTCTGTCTGGGGCCTCATTGTCGCCTGCACCCCTCTGACCCTCTTGTGGTCTCTGCCCTGTAGCTTTATCTACTCCGTGCTGGTGATCGTCTCTGCGGGCCTCTACCTGGCTGGGATCGAGGCCTACCTGGCCGTGATGGTCTTCGCCCTGGTCCTGGGCTGGATGAACGCCCTCTACTTCACTCGAGGGCTGAAACTGACTGGGACCTACAGCATCATGATCCAGAAGGTACGGGCAGGGGGGAGCCACGCACACCACGTGCGCGTCTTAGGGATCTGTTGACCAGAGCAGGTGGGGTGCAGTGGGCAGCAGGCGTGGTCTGGGCTCGGGGTGGGGGGGAGGACAAGGCTGGAGCTGGAAAGAGGCTGGGATGGAGGAGGAGGGACGTGAGAAACCACGCGCCGCACGCAAACCACGCCTCTTTGCTCCCATGATCCGCCCACGCGGGGCTTCAGATCCTGTTCAAAGACCTCTTCCGCTTCCTGCTCGTCTACTTGCTCTTCATGATCGGCTACGCTTCAGGTGAGGCCGGCTGCCCGGGTGGGCCCGGGGTGTGCGCGGGAACGGAGGGTGGTGCAGTGCCCGGAACAGCTGCCAACCTGGATCGAGGACCCCGGGGGCACTGGTTGAGATCTCCCTGTGCCAGGCTGTGGGCTGGGTGTGGGACCATCCCTGCCTTGTCCTCCTTCGAGTCTTTATCAGTACCTTTTAGAGAGAGGAAAATAGAGGATTAGCAAAGTCCAATAAGTTGCCCAACCTCAAAAGCTGGTAAAAGTGGCGCATTAGCTATTTCTGTAGAGGAAGCCATGCAGAAGTTAGTGTCCTAAAACAACAATTAATTAATTAATATATTTATTTGGTTTTATATACTGGGCATTGATCCCAGGGCTTTTACACTGAGCTACATCCTCAGCTCTTTTTCACTTTTTATTCTGAAACAAAGTCATGCTAAGTCCAGTCTGGCTCAAATTTGTGATTTCCTGTCTCAGTCTCTTAGATTTTTTTTTTTTGGTACTGGGGATCAAACTTGCGAGGCAGGCAGCGGCACCACTGAGCTAAATCCCCGGCCCTCAGCCTCTTGTTTTTAATAACAAGTTGTATTATAGGTGTGTATTACCATGTTGGGCATTTTTTTTTTTTTTTTTTTTTTTTTTTGTGC